TTCTGTCTTTGTATGTCTCTACATGTCTAGTCGTCTCTCTCTGTTCCCCTAATGCTTCTTTTCCTCTCACTTGTCTGTTTGTCTATCTGTCTGTCTGTCTGATTGCCTGTCTATTTCTCTGCCTATCTGCCGGTATGTGTCTAAATGTCTGTATATCTCCCTCTCTTTTCCTCTCTCTCTCTCTCATTCTTTCGTCCTTCTTTTTGAGAAACGATATGTGCTGCGTTCTTCCTTTTTGTTTTCTCCTTTGGGCTGAACGAACGGGGCATGTTTAATTCTCACCGTGAACCTGAATTCTAACAAGGCCTATACCCGAAAACCTACGCGACAATAGCGTTGTTGGTTTTACATAGACGTGTGATGAAGCTTTGTTTACCTTAGGGACAAAGGATACTGCGCTATCTTCCAGACCTGGAGGTTAGATTTTCTCAGAATAATTACAAGTTTTCTGAGACGTTTGTTTGTCTGCAAATGCTATTTTCCTCGCCATGATAAATATCGTGAGATACATCGGTGGGAGCGGTGTCTTGCGATCACTCCCGCCTCTCATGACGCATGCAAGTGTTTACAACTTGGTGATGTAACCGACGCCATGTGGGGTCAGGCTCATTGTCACGACCCTCTGACGAACGCCGCTCTGCCTCGTATGCAAATAAGGCTGTGGGAGTAAAAGGTGGGGTTGCTGAGGGCTGAGAGATGTAACTCTTATCTCCACTTCACTTGCCTCTGTTCACATGCCTCACATTTCTGTAAATATAACATATAAGTTCCTGTTCCGAGTGTTTTCTGGGCGGGCTTTGCAGTGGACGATGATCACAATGTACGTATGGAATATCTTATTGACTTTAGTGACGCATGATTTTCATAGAAATAAGCGAACGCCATTTCCAAAGAAGTCTGGCGATATCATTGGCGAAGGAGAAAACAATTCTCGTGAACATTTTGCAGCAGCAACACAGGGCTGCTAGACCTTCGTGAACTATGACGGCGCCTGCATCGGAGACAGCGTGGCAAATCTTGGTTATTCCTGGAAGACAGCACGGAAGAACATGATGAAATGAATGGGGAATAACGTATAATTTGTTCGACTTTCGTTACTCGAGCATATACTTATGAATACCATGGATCAAAGAACGAAATGCAATGTAAGGCATTGGAGTCTAGCGTTACCAGGAACAGACTACATCGAACGTAGTGGTTGATCGGTCCTCTGGCAACAGCAGGGTGAATAGAAAGGCGTGGGGCGCCCGTGCACGAGCAGGACCTTGTTATGGTAATGAGACTGAATTGAATGTACTTCATGTGGGTAATATGGTGAGGTAAGGGCAGGCGAGACGAAAAGGAATAAAAGGAAGGCGAGAAGAATTGGGGGAAGAAAAAAGACGAGAGAAAAGGAATCACGTGAGATAATCCAGTTCCGCACGAAACGCACATCATGCACACACGTACACGCATCACCCACCTTTTTCTGTTGCTATACCCAAATTTAGCTATCATTCTAATTCATGCTCTCTGTACATTAAGAAAGTGATCTAAACGATGAAAGATGCAAACGGTGCAAGCTGAGGAAATCAAGAAGAGAAAAGAAAAAAGGGAGGTTTATTCTCCCAAAAAGGAACTAACTGTGAGGCAATTTTGTTTTGGCTAATGATGTATTTTCCCCCTAGATGCTGGATCTTTAAATTTGCTTGTCTTTTAACCTGGCAACCTGACGTCTGTGTGCATGCATCGTGTATGTGTGTGCGTATATGTCTGTTTGTGGCGAAGTGGTCGATGCCACAGGCGCAGTTGCAGGTCATTGCAAGAAAGGCGGCCAGTCATGCAGAGGCGGCAGTTCTGAGTCTTGTGTGTCGGGAGGGTTTCGCGTTGAAAAGGATGAGATGGGAAACAAATATCGGCATTTCTATCTAATGACATGAAATACATATACATAAGCAAATAACATAACACACACCACACACACACACACACACACACACACACACACACACACACACACACACACAACACACACACACACACACACACACACACACAACACACACACACACACACACACACACACGCACACACGACACACACATCATCACACACACTCCACACACACACACACATACACACTACCGCTTCACGCTCACAAACACCACACACACACACACACACACCACACACACACACACACACCACAACATTATACACACACACACCACACACACACAAAACACCACACACACTACACACACACACACACACACACACACACAACACACACACACATAATATATATATATATATATATATGATATATAATATATACTACTATGTATGTATACGTATGTTATATATATATAATATATAATATATAGAGAGATATTAGAGTAGTATATAGTAGAGAGTATAGGTTAGTAGTATATAGCACACACACCATAATATATAGTATATTAATATATATATATTATATATGAGACAGACACAGCCACACACACACACACACACAGCCACACACAGACACACACACACAGAGAGTAGATATATACTTATATTAGTATATATATAGTTATATATATATAATGAACAACAGTCAGCAACACACACACACATATATGTATATATATATATTTTATAGATCTATATATGAATATATATAAATACTATAATATATATATATAATTATATATATATATATTATATATATATTATTAATAACATATATATTATATATATATATATTATATATATTATATATATATAGTATATATATATATATATAAAAGAAGAGAGAGAGAGAAGGAGAGAGGAGAGAAGAGAGGAGAGAGAAGAGAGAGAGAGAGAGAGAGAGAGAGAGAGAGAGAGAGAGGGAGGGAGGGAGAGAGAGAGATGGGAAGGAGAGATAAGTATTTGCATATAAAATGTATGTAATGTGTTATATGTATTGGTATGAATAGTATTGATAATCAAGATAATAACGCGATGATACAAAAGAGAAGGATATGATAATGATAACGATCATAAGAAATTTGTGATGATAATTAATGTAATATGTTATTAGAAATGGTAATGAAATAATTAATGTTACATCATATTAGTAATAATAACCATAATGATAATCAATGATAATAATGACTATAATAATGATAAAGATAATGTAAAAATGAAATGATAACGATTATGGTACTCACTACTATAACTACAATGGTAATAAAAGTAATGGTAATGATAATAATAATGATAGTAGCGATGATAATAATGATAATGATAATGATAGTTATGATAATAATTATAAATCATAATGATATTAACAGTAATGATAACAATGGTAACGATAATAGTAATAGTAATGATAATGATGATAGCATAATAATGCTAAGATGATAATAATGATGATAATATAATAATATAATGAAATTATATAATAATATAGATGGAATAATAATAATAATATAATGAATAATAATATAATAATAATAATAATATAATAAATATAATAATAATAATAATAATGATTAAGAATCTAATGATAATCATATCATAAAGTAATGCTGATAATAATGATGATGATAAAAGTAATAATGGTAATGATAACAACAATGATAATGGAAATAATGATAATTGATAATGTTAATATATGATAATAAAGTAGATAATAATGATAATGAGTATTATGGTATATAATTTATAATGAACAATAAATTTATGATAATAAGTGATAGAAATAAATAATGTAAATAATAAATAATGATGGAAGTAATGTGATCGTACAATTATTAATGATAAAAATAATAATAAGTAACAATAATGATGTCAATAATAGTGATAATGATATATTATAGCAATAAACATGATAATGATAATGAATGATAATGATAATATATATAAAAAATATGGATAATGAACAAATAATAATATGCAAGATAAGAATAATGATAGCATATGATGAAATGATAATGTAAATAAAAACTTTAGTGTAATACAATAATGCAAGCTAGTAATAATGTTAATGATATGACAATAACAATGATAATACTAAAGATGAGATGATAATAATAACAATGATGATAATTATAATAATTAATAATAATAAATAATATAATAATAATAATAATAATAATAATAAATAATAATAATAATAATAATGATAATAATTAGATGATGATAATAATAACAATAATAATAATTATTATCATTATCATTATGGTGATGATAATAATGGTAATGATAGTAATAATAATAATGATAATGATGATGATTAATGAATGTGATGAATGATTGATGATGATGAATATGAATAATATAAAAATTATAAGATAAGGTAATGAAAATGATAATGATAATAATGATATTAATGATGATAATAGTAATGATAATAATAATAATGATAACAATAGTACTAGCACTAGTAATGACTATAGTAATGATAATAATAATCATAGTTATATTAGTAATAATGATAGTAATGATAATAGCAACAGTAATGATGATAATAACAGTAATAATGATGATAATGATAATAATGATAATAATATGATATAAAAATGATAATGATAATAATAATAATAACAATAATAGTAATGATAATAATAATTATAATAATGATAATGACAACAACAACAACAACAATAATAATAATAACAACAACAGCAATATTAATGATAAGAAATTGATAATTGAACAACAATAAAATAACGTCAGAATGATGATAACACATAACATAATAATAATGATAATGACAAATGAAGAAAATTCCAATGCCGTTTTCGATGTTTAAAAATAAATAGCGCAATATACCATTACTACAGTATGTACCGATCTCGCACATATACACGTGTATAAAACTACACTGAAAGTAATCTGGTTCTTCACACGTACTGACCGCACTTCCACAGAAGAAAGCTCACATATTTGACGGGACGCATGCGCAGTGAGATGAAGCTGTTGTGTGTGCGGGATGCTAGTGACGCAACCCGGCCTCAGTTACCTTATGGGTGCGGAAGAGTGTGGATGCGCCGCTCTTTCCGCAGATTCCACACCCACGTGGCTGTCAGTCTGAAGTTTCTATGTGAAGGATTCCTTTGAGTCGAAATGCATTTGTTGCCAGGATAAGGCAATCTGCATCTCTTAGATGCAATAAAAGTGTATGATTTCATGTTGATTAATAATTTCTTGAAATCACTAACAAATTCTAGATATTCCTTTCACTAGTGGCATTAGCGAACAAAAGTTGTAAAACATGAAGACGGCAAACAGAAGAAACGATGATGGCTCGATGCTGAACATGAAGCTGACCATGAGGATAATGATGATGGCCGGAGTCTTCCAGGCTCTGCTGGCGCCAGCCCTCGCTGACCTCCAGCCCGGAATGTAAGTAATGCAACAAAGAATGTCATGCATCAAAGCACACAGATACGCACACTTATATTGTATAGAGATATTTGCGATACATAATGTAAATAAATGTTATATATATATATACATATACATATACACACACAACGATATATATATATATTATAATATATATATATATATATATATAGTATATATATAGTAGTATTACATATATAACTATATAGTATATATATAATTTAATATATATATTTTATAGTTACATAATATTAATAATATATACTTATAATAATATACATATAATATCATATATATGAGGGGTTGTATTGTATCACAGTTGTGTGATGTGGTGGTGTTGTTAGTGTGGGTGGCGGTTATGTATTATGGGTGTTGTCTTGTATGGGGTTGTTGCATGGTAGTAGTTATTTGTGAGTTTTGGGTGGTTGTGTATTAACAATAGATTTATAGTTTATATAGTATATAATATTATATATATTATAAAGATAATATAGATAAATATTTATATATTGGATATAGATATAATTATATATATATATTGTGTATGTATGTGTATATATTATATATATTATATATATATATATATATATATATATATATATTATATTAGATGTAGTGTATATGTGTTGTGTATGTGTTGTGTATATAATATATATATATATATATATATATATATATAATATATATATATATATGATAATTACTATGTGCGTATAATTGTATAGTATATATATATATATTTGTGTGTGTGTGTGCGTGTATGTGTGTAATGTGTGCATGTCCGTGGGTGTTTATTTACTTATGTTATATAATTATATATATATAAATATATATATATATATATATATATATATATACATATTACGATATATATGTATGTGTGGTGTGGTGTGTGTGTGTGTGTGTGTGTGTGTGTGTGTATTTATAGTATATATTATTACTTATATTATATTATATATATATATATATATATATAATATATATATATAATCGCATTTGTATAAACAAACGTTTTGTATAAGTATTTGTACAGTACTTATATATGCATATACATATCCAAAAGAAAAGTAGTTATAGTAAGAGAAATTATTGTACCAGCTTAACTCCCCGCTGATGTGATCATCATTATAATAACATTCTCTACATACATTTCTGACAGTATGCTCCCATTCTTACTTTCGAGATTAACATTATATTTAAGAAAAAAACAACAACTGAAGAAGGAAAAGGACGATAAACTAAAACCGAGAGAATGCCAGCATAAAATCCAGCATGCGGTGAGTGCATTTTTAATTAACCAAAAATCTATTTCCGAATACGTGGTGTGTCTGTCATCATGCAACGAGTGATATTTAAATTGCCATTTTCTGATATTGTTATGTTATAAATATTATACGGAGCGACTGCTATTGCAAAGATAAGCATTTTGATAAATTTTATGAAATAATTGTAATATTCAATAGTATTACTGGTATTGGGATTACCGCCATACATGAAGCTGAATTATTGAAAATGAAATCATAGGAATATAAGAAAAACACAATATGATGCAACAACGGCAATCATACTAATGGTAGGAAATTTAATAATAGTACTGGGGGTACTACTGCTGCAATAACTACTACCACTACCACATCCACCATCACTCCTACGTCTACTATTACTCCTAAAACTACTACTATTACGACCTACTCACCACTTCTACCACTACTACTACTACTACTACTACTACTATTACTACTACTACTACTGCTGCTGCTAATATTACTACTAATTTTACTACTACTACTACTTCTACTACTACTATAACCACTTCTATTTCTAATATTACTGCTATTATTACTAATACTACTGTTACTCCTGCTACCACTACTACTCCTAATATGACTAAAGCTACTGGTACTACCACCACCACCACTACTACTGCTAATAATATTGATACTTCTATTACTACTACTACTGCTATTACTACCGCTACTTCTACTACTACCACTACTGATACTACAACTATTGCTGCTGTTGTTACTGCTATTGATCCTACTACTTTTTCTACTACTACTACCACTACAACGACACTACCAATACACCACTACCACCACTATTACTAATATTACCAACACTACCACTACCACTATTGCTACTGCTGCTACAACTTCTACCTCTCCTACTACTACTACTGCTATTTAAGTGTGGTTAGCATCAAAGTACGTATTCTTATTCTTTTTACATTTCTCTTTCACGTACATATATTTCTTTCTTTCTTTCTTTTTCTCATTCCTTGCCTCCATGAACCTATTACCGAACGATCAATATGGATAAACTCTCAACGGCTGGACAGTAAATCGGTAGGCCTATAAAATATCGGAGAGAAAGAGTAATACACGAAAACTTATTCATGTCTGTGTATATGTGCGGATTTGTGTTTGTTTGTTCGTTGTATGTGTGGGTGTGTTCTTTTCATTAGCTTTATCATTTTAACATTAATCTTATTATCATCATTACCATGTCTCATACTATACTGTTAGCTAACAATAACAGCAACAACAGTAATGATGCTGATGTTGATAATACTTAAAGTTAAATAATGCTAATGATAATAAAATTGCCGATATGAATAATTTTAATAATGTTGATAATCAAGACTATTACTGATAATTCTCAATATCAATATTAGCAATACAATTTAGATAGTGATAATATCAACGCCAGAAAACTATAATGATAATAATATTAATGTCCAAAGTGATAAAATTCATGAAAAGAACACACCCACCCACACAAACAAACAAACACTAATCCACACATGTACACAGCCATGAGTAAGTTTTCGTTTTCATTCAATTTTTCCATACTGATCGTTCGGTAATAGGGAAATGGAGGTAAATAATGGGAAAATGAAAGAAATAAGAAAGAAAGACAGCTGTGTGTGTAAAGGAGAAAGGTAAAAAAAAGTACAAGAATACGTTCCTAATCTTTCTTTGATTTTAACCGCACATAAAAAAGGAAAGAAAAGAGAGAGAAAAAAGAAAGACAGAAAGAAAAGAATAGAAAAAATCCCTAAACCACAGACAAAATACCTTAGATTGAAAAAAAGAAAGAAAAAAAAAGTTTAACCAACGGGTTCCTTTTCACGGTTCATGGTATTTTCACTTCATAAGCCGGTTATCGGAGGCGAACGAGGGGCGCTCACGGGTGTTAGCGTATAATGTGATAGATCTTCCCGTAATCAATTCAGTCTAACATGGAACCGATAGTGTCAACTCCCGCTACGTAAATTCGTTCATTTGTATTCGGCAGAAGCGTTGTTGAGACTGATCTTTTGTTTCCTATTCCCCAGGACAAGTGCCGGTTATTCGTTTTCTGTTCTATCACACTGATGATTATTCTGTTCAGAATTAGTTTAACTTCGTAGGGAGAACTAATATTCACAGAATCTTAAGCCTAGATCTAAATTTCAAACTTGGGCATATCTGTCACTGTAACGGGCGAACACACGGAGCATCACGGTGTGGCGAGATACCATCCTGCACATTTATTTTTGCCGTCACTTTCGGCAGAGATACCATCGCTTTGTGGTCGGGCGGCTCACTCACACACTCACGCATCACACCTAATCCATACGAGCGCTGAAAACACTAAGGAATGGATCTGTCATCGTACCATTTTACCCCTATAACGTATTGCATCATGTATTACATCTCTTACGAAAGAGGGAGAGAAAGAAAACTGAACAAACGTGGACGAGGCGTCGACTTAGTAAGCTCTCATTCCACCCTCTTACCTTACTCATCCTTCCTTCCTTTTCTCCGTCTTAATGTTTCCCCCCTACCTTTCCCCCTCTCCCCGCCTTTAGTGTCTCCCCTTCTCTCCTTCCTTTCCTCGTCCCTAGTGTCCTCTCCCTCGCCCTTCCCTCGCCCATAGCGCCCCCTCCATCGCCCATTTTCTCGCCCCTTGCCCCTCCTCCCCCTTCTCGCAACCGCAGAGGCGAGTGGTGGTTGGCGGTGTGGGCCGTCATGGCCATAAACCCTTCTCATTAACGCGATCCCGCCGTCTAATGTAACCATCTGAAAATTCTGGAAGAAGGAGTAGCAGGCCGCCTTTGAAGGAGCCAGGCAGGGCGGGCGCCTTGCCTGGCCTTCGCTGACTGCCGACCGCTGGACTTTCTTAGAGAAATGCGCTGATCTTGAGACCATCTCGGGAAGACGTATTTCCATGATTTGATGATTACTCTTACTGGCCAACTAAAAGCAATTAGGTAACTGAAAAAGGAAGCTCTGCTTTCACGAAGAAAAATAGAAAACAAAATCTGAACGTCACTACTGAGATAGAGATAACAACTGGCATTTTTCTCCACCAAACGGGTGAGCGCGCAAATCCGTCAGCACCTTTGATCCTATTTGATCTTCTTACTCTTGCCCCCCTCCCTCTATCCCCCCCCCCTTTAAAAAATCAAACTAAAGCAAACTAAGAACGATTGATGAGCAATTTCTTTCAAACGAAACAGGTTTGGGCTTCTCACTCCTGCTTCACCTCCGGCAGGCAAAGCAGCGACCAGCCTCTGTTGATGGATTGCTGCTCTAAACATGGATGAGCGGGAGGTTTTATCATTATGAATGCCATGTGTGAAGTTAGTTTAGATAAGTAGGCAGAACGGAAAGGAGGAGAGGGTGGAGGAAAGAAGATTAAGAGAGGTAAAAACGACTAAAAGGGGATTATTCGGCAGGAGGAAGAGAGAGAGAGAGAAAAAAAGAGATAGAATGCGCACAGAGGGCAAAGGCCAGACATACGGTGCGAAGCGAGGAGAATTAAATGAAATCGTGGAAAAGATGCATTGCTTGGCCAAAGTGCTCTCGGTGATTAAGGAAAAGCGAGAGTGAAAGAGTGCCAAAAACGAGGGACGAAAAAGGGGGCGAAGGAATCTATTTGGAGGTTGAGGACTGGGGAGTGGCAGTTGATGTGCCCGTAAATGCCTTTTATTGTTGGCATTTCAGTTCGTG